GTTTGGTGGAGGGGGAAGGGGTTACAATGATAGCCAAAAGATGCAAAGGGTACAAATTTGGATTTTGACTTTTGTAAATTGGAAGAGAGGAGTTAGGTCTGGATCACATGCAAATACAGAGAAAAGCTTTTTGGGCCATAAATGTAAGATATGTGGGCCCATAGCTACACGAGCCCTGTCTACAGATAGCCATTCATTTCATTTTCAATGCTAACTTTACGTCTTTAATGAATATTTGGGCCCCAACATTGATAACAGTCTTGGGAAAATGACACTGTATATCTGATCTCAAAATAATAGTTGAAAAAATATTTTTTTAATATGTATTTATGTCTGGATTATATAAATGTTCGACTAGAGAGAGGCGAGCACCGAGCAGATGTGATGCTTTGCTCCAAATTTTCTGTTATCTCTAATTCTCTACTTCTTTTTTATTATCTATTTGATTTAGCTGATAAATCGCTCGATAACCGTCCGATAATCGATAATCATACTAATCTGCCCGATGTCTTATTGGCTGGTTAGCGGATTACTAAATTTATAAACCGATAACTGATAAGCCAAACCATTCAACGTAAATATCCGCCTAATCCACCCGATAAACACCCCTAATCCATACTAGAAGAATTGGTCTTCAACAACTTGTTTATTTTCTTTTCATTTTATGTTTCGGTATGAGTTATGTATTTAAGAAAGTATTTATAACTAATTATAAGGTAATTGTAAGTAATGTTATATAGTAAATTCGATCTAAAAAGAAGAAAATCACGCTCTATAGGATTTGAACCACGACATCGTGTTAAGACGTGACCTAGAAAACGAAAACAGCGAGACCTGCGGTCTCATCGAACGAGAAGTTCGAAGATGGAGACCAGGTTCGGCACGAACTCATAAAGGTTGGTGAGAGAGGTTCAGTTGAATTTTCTTCGCTAGAACACAATGCAAAAGGGATAAAAATGAACTTTTTGATATATATAAACTACGTAATAAATTTCTTTGACATGAGTTCATTTTTAGGTGTGAATTTATAACTTTTTTTTCCGAATTCCCCTACTCAAATTTCTGGCTCCGTTATTGATTGTTCTCACCGATTAAAAAGTATTGAAAAGATCTTGGATGTTATGTTTTCTTAGATATGTGTTTAATTTCGTGCAAAAGAGAATGTGTGGGTTCAAATTTCCAATGAATGATATGTTATTTTGTAGAAAACCTAGTCTAGCTATTATTATTATTCATGAAAATGGGATGTTGCTACTTTTGACTTTTTTCATATTATTGAGTAATATGCAATTTTACTTGCTGTATATGTGCATGCACTGAGACAATATCCAAATTTGGTGGAATTTTGAAATATAGGGAGTTTAGCATATGGCTTGTCTTTATTACTTTATTTTGCTTATTATCATTGTGCTCATTTTCCACATTTTCATTACACTTGTGAATTTTTATCTTCTTGATAGAGTATAATTTAAAGGTTCTCCATTTAAAAACTTTGTTTTAAGGCCAAATATATAGACAAGCCATTAAACTTGGCCCGATTTTTCATTTTAGCACTTTAACTCAGTCTTGTTCTATTTTGGCATTCCAGTCCATTTCTTTTGTTCCACTTCAACACAAAAGCTGACTAGATTCCATGTGTGATTTGTCTCACCCTTGTAGGCGCGTGAGAGTCATTTTTTAAGCCAAATTTCATACTCCCAACGCAGAGGCGAATCCAGGATTTAAATCCTATGGATTCAATTTTAATGTTTTTAACATTGAACCCATTATATTTTTAAAGTTATGGGTTCATATCTATTATTTTTGCAATTTTAATGAATTTTTACATACAAATTTTTACTCCGCATCAAAAGTTATGGGTTCAGTTGAACCCGTAGTTATTACTGAAAATATATATAAAAAATATTTTTTCCCCGGGAGGGGGGCAGAAAAACNAACAAAAGAAATAGGATTGGAGGGCCAAAATAAAAAATTGGGCCAAATTTAATGGTCTATCTGTGTATTTGGCCTTGTTTTAATCCTCCCTCACTAAAAAGACAATCCAATGCACAAAACATTCTACGTTAACATAGGGTATGAGAAAAGACCGCACCTAAAGAGTATGATGTAGTCAACTTACCGTGATGTAAACATCAATGACTGATTCTACTGCTTGAACCCCTGACCTATGATGTGAATCCTCCCACACTATAAAAAAAAGAAGAAGCAAAGAGAACCTTTTTCTACATAATTCCTAGGTGAAATGGCTCAAATTACATGTGTATATTTCAAAGTAGAACACATAGTGATTATTTTTTACTGTCGTGGTATAATGTGGTGGGTGAGATCTTAATCAGAAGTTTTGAGTTCGAGTTTTAAAAGTAAAAACATCCTTAGCAGGGCACCATCTTTTAGTGGGCCATTTACAATTCAAATTTTGATTAGTCGGACTAGTAAATTTCGAATATCAGATGATTTTAAAAGGAATATATAGTGATACTTTCCATCTATTGAATTAGACTCCCAAGTTCATCTCCCAGCCATGCAAAGAAGCTGAAAAATATAAAGTTAAATTGTAGAAAAGGAAGAAATAAAGAAAGACCTCAAAGAAGTGGAAGCATATCGTCATATGGAATTCTTTCATTCTCATCTAGAGATCTCGAATTTAAACCATGAAAATTTAAAAAAGAGCGCTTTTCCTTATATAGATCTTATGTGGCGTTAATTAAGTGAGTTTCAAATATCAAATAATTATTTAAAAAAAAATGAAAGCAGATTTCTCCTGCCACAAAGCAGGAGATGTAAAGAAGAGAAGCTCAACTGTGCAAAAGTCCTTTTATGAGTCATTACTAATTTTTTTGGTTTTTCACTCGGTGTTCGGTATCCGCATTTGAGCCCGACTATATTCAGATTCGCACCGCATAGGGTCTCATTCGGGGAAAACGCTTCCTACCAAGGATTTTTCCATACTCAGGGCTCGAACCCGAGACCTATAATTAAGGAATGAGCAGTCTCATCCAGTGCATCACATCTTTTGGGTAGAGTCATTACTCATTACTGCTACAATAGTAAATACATAAAGTAGCGTTTTGTATCTCATCAATAAATTGGGGTCCACTCTATTTGGGGTCCACACGGAGAATACTAACCATTTGGCAGAGTCAAATAGTCAAACCACCAGCTATGATTTGTGAATTATGAATGTGATTTCTTCTAACTTCTAAAGTTTCTTTTCAAACTCTGCACTCATTTACAGCCTGTTTATGAGGGATTGTACAAACTTCTGGTTGAGATATTTTTCTTTCTTGTTCAACATTGTCTTCATTGAGCCTACAACAGCTATAAAATTGTCTCCATGTGACCTATAGGTCACGAGTATAGGTCACGACTTTAAGTCGTGGAATCAACTATTAATACTTGTATTATAGTAGACTGTCTATATTACATCCCTTGAGATGCAACCCTTCCCCCAAACCATGTTTGAACATGGAATGCTTTATGCGCCTGTCTGCTTTTTTTCAACATTGTCTTCATTATTATCGTTTGTTGTCCGAGAATTTTTTTTTTTGGTTCCCATCAAATGTCCGATATCAATATTAGGGTTGTGATCCGGATTCGCGTTGCATGGAAAAAATCGAGAATGATCTAGATTTCTTTTGAGCCATCGAAATAACAAAATTCTGATAGGAAACACTTACTCCTTTAGTAAGCCTTACAAGACGCGAATCCGAAATAGTTGGGCCCAATGCGAGTACCGACATCAATTGAGACGAAAAAAGAAGTAATTTTGAACCATTCTTTGAGTAAAACATGGATCCACTTTTTAGTTATTGCATGGGCAATATAGAGATAGAAGGTAACCTTGGAGCAACGATATAGTTGTCTCGTGTGACCTATAAGTCATAGGTTCGAGCTGTAAAAGCAGCCACTAATGCTTGCATTAGGTTAGAGTGTCTACATGACACATCTTGGATGCAGGCCTTTCCCGAACCCTATATGAATGTGCACCGGACTGCCTTGATGGGCAATATAGAGATTGTTAAAAAAGATAAAGTGAAAAGGTAAATCATAAATATGAACTTTTGAAAAAAAAAAAGTTAAGGGCCTTTTGGAAAAAGATCCTTTACTCTGCAGCTATAAATAGACCAAAGAAGAGACCAAACTTAGCCACAACACCACAAATATCAAACTCAAAAAATCTTCATACTCAAGTCCCAACTTTTAACTTATCTTCATATTTTCTCTCTTTTAGTTTCTTCAACCTTATTTTTTGTTAATTTTCAAGAAAAGGGGCAATTTTTATAGTACCCCTTTTTCCCATTTTGTTTCTATTTTCTCATACCTTACTTGTCTCTCATAGGAACTTAATTTCTTGAATTTTTTTTATAGAGTTCAAGAAACCATGAGAAAAATTCAAGAAACCATGTCTTACACATATGATGAGGCTGCTCAAATTAGATCTTCTCTATCTCAAATTCTATTAACAAGTAGTACCAATACATTAGACTCAATCTTTTCTCATTGCCAACAACAACAAACAACAACTATTACGTCTCAGTCCCAAACAATTTTTTCTGATTGCCAAGAATCAAATAATCAAATGGCTACTAAAAATGTTTTCGAGCCTCTAGGTTCTTCCGTCTACAACAATAACAACTACGCCTTAGTTCCAGACAATTTAGGTTCTTCGGTCTACCTTAGACAAAAAGATTTGTTACAAAAATTTTGGGAAGAAAATAGAACAAATGTTACAATTCCAACAACTTCAACTCAAACCCCACATCAAAATACTTCTTTATATTCAAAGAATTATGTTTGTCCAAGTAAAAAAAAGTTATATAGAGGAGTGAGACAAAGGCATTGGGGAAAATGGGTGGCTGAAATAAGACTACCTCAAAATAGAATGAGAGTTTGGCTTGGAACTTATGAAACTGCTGAGGCTGCAGCATATGCTTATGATAGAGCTGCATATAAACTTCGAGGCGAATATGCACGATTAAATTTTCCAAATATTCGCGATGATACGAGCAAGTTAGGATTTGGAGATAGTACAACGATGAATGCTGTGAAGAGTTCTGTGGATGCTAAAATTCAAGCTATTTGCCAGAAGGTTAAAAGGGAAAGAGCTAAAAAGGGTGCCAAGAAAATAGTTGAAAGTGATAAAAAAGTTGAAAAAAATGTGGATTTGGATTCATCATCTTGTTCTTCTTCAATTGTTTGTAATGAAAGTTGGAGTAATAGTGATGTGATTTCACAAAGTAGTACTGAAGATGGATTGTGGAAAAGTGAGAATTCGCCTTGTTCTGTTCTTGATGACCCCTACGTGGGGCCCAAGAACGACGATCATATCACTAGCATCACACATCAGTTCGAAAAGCCAATGATGGAATTGGAGTTTGAAGATTGTTCTCTTGCAAGAGTGCCATCTTTTGATCCTGAGTTGATATGGTCGATTTTGGCTAATTAGAAGTTATATCGACTTGCTCTTCACGTGACTTGAACCTTCGACTTATTTAGAATCTCATCTTGAGATCTAGTGGAGACCATTTTATGTTGTTTGCAATGTAAATGGTTAATTTTGAAGAATGTGTAGTTATTTAGTTTTGGTATCTTTTGTCAAAGTTGAATGGAAGTTTTGGCGTAACTGGTAAAGTTATTGCCATGTGATCAGGACGTCATATATTCGAGCCATGGAAACAGTCTTTTGCAAAAATATAGGGTAAAGTTGCACACAATAGACTCTTGTGGTTCGACCCTTCCCCGGACCTCCCCTCCGCATAGCGGGAGCTTAGTGCACCGGGATGCCCTATCTTTGTTCAAGTTGAACACTACCAGTCTCTCTTGGTCTGACTTTTGTTTCTCTATGGGATGAACAAAGAATATTATTAGCTGTTCATTACCAGTTTTAATGTATCAAATTATTTGGGAATTTGCTTATTCTAATAAAGTTTGAATTTTTTAAACCCTAGTGTATATTACCCTACTTCTTAGTTTGGAAAGGAATGATCTTTCATAAAGAGAAAGTTCACATTCCTTTTTTATCATTCAATCAATCAATAATTCTTTAGTCCCAAATTAGTTAAGGTCGACTATACACATTATTTGTGTCTTCTATACGACTCACATGTCTTAACAAATCCAATGTGGATTTAACTTATATCTACTGGCGATGCAATATAGTTGTTACACCATAAGCACAATTTAATCTATAAAAGGATATTTGTCTTATTGTTCAGATTACTAATTTCACTTATTACGTGTGATATTAGAAGAAAATTATTTTACGGAAGGACGAATTGTTTTTTGAAAGTAAGTGTAAAGAAGAACAACGCCACATCTTTCCAATGTGGGATTGAGCCTTCATTTCCATGATTTTCACTCATTTTATTGATCGATAAGCCGCACTTATACATTGCTGGAAAATATTAGATGATTATGGAGAATAAAAGTTTAGCTTGAGGCGTGTCAAAGACACTGTCCTTAAGGATATTTCGCCTACATCGTGATAAATAAAATTAGGCGTATCCTCCAGGATTCAACAAGCTCTTCTAGTATAAACTAGGAGCAGAAACAACAAAGATTGAATAAAATAAAACCCAGCACAAAGAAGAAAATTAACAGATTACTTTTTCACACTCTTGAAAGTAAAAAGAACTTGAGAATTTATAGATAAGAACAACCATCTCATCATATGGCTAGCTAAAATGCTCCAACATATATGGCATTAAAAACTAAAGAATTAATAAGAAAAGATGTTACAAAACAAATCTTAACATTTTATAACTTCCAAAGCCATTCAAGGCTATTACTAACAGATAATAATAATTTGAACAAAAGAATTCAAAAGCCATTAATAGCTAATCAAAGATTGTTTTGTATGAATGTTAATAAAAGATCAGTTATAATATTATAATAATATCTATTAATCATGAGTAGTAAATGATAATGAATATGTTATATTTTTATCATTGAGATATAAGAATTATCTTCTAACATACATATATTTTGTTCTCCTTTTCCTTTTGTTGATGTATATATCTCTGAATAGTAGTCTAATAAATCCAAAGAAAAAAGAAGAAGAAGAAGAAGAAATGGTCCCAAGTTTTGTTGTGAATAAATGTTATCCACCAATTGCAAAATAGGTGATGGTGATGCCACAGTATAGCTTGTCTGACTTATAATATAACAGCAGCTTAAAGAATTTTTGGGGCATCCCTCATTTCTTAGACTTGTCACTGTTTGATAATGTTACTTCAATTATTTGTCTAGCTATTCATCATCTTCCCTAAAGTGCACAAAACCTATTAGCTTATCTTGCTTTTTTTTTTTGGTAGAGGAAGATCCACGATATATGTGCGCTGACACACTAGTCACTAGGTATATGTGTTGCACATGTAGCTCGTGTAAATTATCACAAACTTGTATATAAATGTAATAAATAGTTAATTAGTTTTTTTGGGTAGAGGGCGATCCATGATATATATGATCCATGATATATATGCGCTCACACACTAGTTACTAGGTACATGTGTTACACATGTAGCCCGTATAAATTATCACAAATTTGTATATAAATGTAATAAATAGTTAATTAGTTTTTTTGGGTAGAGGGCGATCCATGATATATATGATCCATGATATATATGCGCTCACACACTAGTTACTAGGTACATGTGTTACACATGTAGCCCGTATAAATTATCACAAATTTGTATATAAATGTAATAAATAGTTAATTAGTTTTTTTGGGTAGAGGGCGATCCATGATATATATGCGCTCACACACTAGTTACTAGGTACATGTGTTGCACATGTAGCCCGTGTAAATTATCACAAACTTGTATATAAATGTAATAAATAGTTAATTAGTTCTTTTTTGGTAGAGGGTGATCCACGATATATATGCGCTAACACACTAGTTACTAGGTATGTTACTAGGTATGTGCGTTGCATGTGTAAACCGTGCAAGTTAGCACAAACTTGTATATAAATGCAATGAATAATTAATTAGCTCTTTTTGGTGGAGGTCGATCCACGATATATATGCAAGAACACACTGATCACTAGATATGTGCATTACACGTATACCCCGTATAAGTTATCACTAACTTGTTTCTGAATTTAATAAATGGTTAATTAACTCATTTTGGTAGAGGACTATCCACGATATATATGCACGCACACACTCACCAGTAGGTACATGGGTTGCACGTGTAGCCTGTATAAGTTATCATAAACTTGTATCTAAAAGTAATAAATAGCTAATCGTATACATATTCTAGAATTTGTTTGATTGAGCTATAAAATAAAAAAGAAATGTGTACAGAAAAGTTCAAAACTACAATTTTTACCGGAATTGAGCAATTAACAATTCAGTGCAAAAGTATCACCTTTACTTCACTAAAAACTTGGTGAAATGAAAATGATTAGAGTAAATAATTGAAGATAAGCTTGTATATATACTCATAAGGCATCATTTTCTGTATCTCTCAAATCTCTCCTCATTCAAGAACAAATTTTGACACAAATGCAGTTTGCTCTCAAAGACATTTCAAGACTGCTAGAAAAAGGAGTTAATGGATTGGACAGTTAATTATCTAACCTTTTCTGGGCCGGTCTGTTGGACCTTGTAATGGACTTTATCAACAACAATCCGGTAAAATCGTAAAAATAGCACGCTATAGCCAGTTTTCGAACTAGTCATTCAAAAATAGTCAGCATTTACCAAATCAATGAAAAATAGCCACTATTTTGCTGCAACAGAGACCGGTCCAACATAATATACTGGAGTTCGGTGCACCTGTGTATATGCTGGACCGGTGTACTTTGATGGCTCCAGTATAATATACTGGAGACTGGAGCACCGGGTGCTCCAAACTCCAATATATTATGCTGGACCGGTATACTTGCTGGAACTCCAATATATTATGCTGGAGTTCTAGTGTACTTATGCTGGAACTCCATCATATTATGCTGGAGTTCCAACATACTTATCCTGGAACTCCAGTATAATATGCTGGAGTTCAAGTATACTTATGCTGGAACTCCAGCATAATATACTGGCGTATTTTCTGGGTTTTGAACAATGTTTTCGCTCAGATTTATCTTTACATGAAAAGTGGCTAAATTTCGATTATTTTGAAATCGGGCTATTTTTGAACGACCAGTTATAAATCTGGCTATTTTTAAATTTCTCCCGGTAAAATCCCACCAAGTGGGGTCTGGGGAGGATAAGGCGTACTCAGAGTGGTGGGATGAATATGCCATTACTTGTGGTGGCCCTAGCCATGGCATAACCATCCGATTCAGGATTCAATGAATTCGTCAACCTTCTAGTGGTTTTGTTTGCAAAAAGCTCATATAGAACAAAGGAGCGAAAACAAGAAGCAAATCTAATCCTTTTAATAGAACCTAAATCTCCTCATACAAAGTGCCAAATTCGGTGGATAATAAGCCTTGGTGGCCGCCCCTCTACCCTTCTCAACTTACATATCATGCTTTTGTACATGACATGTTTTGCTTTGGTAACATGGTTCAAACATGTGACGTGCGCCTAATCCATAGATCAAAAGTTGCGCTCTTACCACTAGATCAAAACCCTGCGATAGAACCTGAATCCCCTCTTTTGCTCTACTTCATACCAATCACTCCCTTTCCTTCCCAAAGAGCCAACCAGGACATGGCGTTCGATGCATCAACAATGTCATTACCTTCCTACAGAGCATCACAACAACTATTCAACTGACACCGAATTATGTAGCAGAGGATAGCTAGTAAAGAGACAGCAACAGATAGCTAGTAAAGAGACAACAACCGTTATTCTATTTGAATGCCGACTCAAGCTTATGATTACATTTATTAACAACAAAATTCGGAATCTTATTCAAGTATATTAAACAAAATTGTTCTGTATAAGCCAAGACCTGTATTACAATCACATGCCAACATATTGAAGGGGAGTCTTGGAGCACCGATAAAATTGTCTCCGTGTAATCTATAGGTTACAAGTTCAAGCTACGGAAGGAACCACTAATGCTTGCATTAGGGTAAGCTATCTACGTTACACCCCTAGAGGTACGATAGCTAGTAAAGAGACAACAACAAATAGCTAGTAAAGAGACAACGGATATTCTATTTGAAGGTCGACTCAAGCTTATGATTACCTTTATTAACAACAAAATTAGGAATCTTATTCTAGTATGCTTAACAAAATTATTCTCTGTATGCCAAGACCTCAATTATGTACTACAATCACATGACAACATATTGAAAGGAGTTTTAGAGCAATGGTAAAGTTGTCTTATTTATAGGTAACAACCACTAACGTTTGTATTAGAATAAGCTGTCTACATTACACCCCAAGAAGTACGATACTTCCCCAGACCATGTATGAATACAGAATACTTTGTGCACCTTGCTGTCAATCACATACCTCGCTGTCAATCACATGACAACATATTCCAAAACGTATTCATATAATAATAGTAATAATTAGAACACTTCCTACTACATCTCACATGGATGCAAAGTTATTTACAAACAACAAAGGAACAACATCATCCAAAACAAAACAAAAAACACAAGAAATACATATATAACTCATAAAAACATTCTATCATACAACATAAAAGCAAAGTTATTTTACAAAGGCTTCAATCAAAGTAGTTACTAATACTTGTATTAGGCGGTAATGTATATATCATGCAGCATTTTCTCTAACCCTACATAAATACGAGATACGACATTTTCTTTGACGCTGCATAAATACGAGATACTTTATAAACCGGCTATCCTTTCTTTCTACCTTCAATCGAAGTAGTGATGCAAAAACTTGCGAATACTTCTCATGAATCCACCTTTCTTTTTTCCCCTCTTATGCCACTTAGCTTTTTCTTCTTCTTCTTCTTCAGCAGCATCGCGATAATGAAAATGCTTCCTCAATTTCATTCTATCAAAGCTAAATTGGTCTTCACCATAATACTTAGCATCAAGCTTTGATCTTTTGTCATCCTCAATATCATCATCTTTATCAAATCGATGAGCCTGGAATTGATTTTGACGTTTCAATTTCTTTTTACCAAACTTCACGCGATCATCGTCTAGAAACTTCGAGATCTTACCAAGCTTCTCGCGCTTGTCGAGAAACTTCGAGATCTTCTCCTCTTTGTGATCATCGTCTTCGTTATCGTGATGGTAGTGGTGAAAATTGACCCGATCCGATGGAAGTTCACGCACGCCGACACGGTATGCAAACTTATCAAAGTCAATGTTTTTGCCGGAAGAGAGTATTTTGTCATTACCGTAAGGGATCTGACGCCGTGATACCGGATCCCGGTGGTGGAAATGGTGGCGACATAGGCGGAACGGTAGGTTAGATCGGAGCCGGAATTTGACTAAGGTCAACGGCAACGTATGGACGGAGTGAGTCTCTTCGTTATCGGCGTTTTTAGGAAGGCTAAGAATAGGCGCCGAATCCTCGAATTCCTGTAGAGTATTAAGATGTTCGGGGCGGATGACGTCATTTTCTGAAGGGAGTTTGAGGTGCATGACGTCATTTTCCGGTTGACTTACAGGAATACGAGCAAAGGAAAGCGTAAATAAGAGGAAAAGTACGGCGACGGAGATTTTCGCCATGGTTAAAAGGTAAAAAATGTTGGAAAAAAATTGGCTCGGTTTGCTATATATATATATATATATATATAAGGTGGGGCAGTCGGGTAGTTTTGAAGTTTATTTGATTTAATCCTATTATTATATAAATACACCAAATACAATTAATTTAAGAGTTAAAAAGGAAACGTTAATAAAATATTTCAGTGGTTGATATTAAACAATTTAAAACTTTAAAGTGACTCCTTAATCCTTTCCTGACAAATGATTACTTTTATTTTAAATTTCTATTTTAGCTAATAAATTCTGACTTGTTATATATATATATATATATATATATATATATATATATATATATATATATATTAAAGCAAGAAAGTTACCATATATAATTGTCACGACCCCAAACCGGCCCGGTCGTGATGGCGCCTCTCGTAAAGACAAGGCCAGCCGACACAACACCCATATTAACCCTTTAATCATTAAGAGTCATTTTTAAGCCTTTAATTAAACAATATCTCATAACATAAGTCTGAATGAATAGTGCGGAAATAACATGCAAGCCCGACATCGGGGTGTCACTAGCCATGAGCATCTACCAAGGTCTGAATACTATAAAAAAATAGTCAAAATGTACTAAGTACAGAAATGAAATGAGAGGAAGGAAGCAGTGCTGCAAACGTCGTGCAACCACCTTGCTATCCTTGATGACTCCGCATCTGAGCAACCAATACCCGCTACCGGATTCCGGAATACCTGAATCTGCACACGAGGTGCAGGGAGTAATGTGAGTACTCCAACCCAATAAGTAATAAGAGTAAATAAAGACTGACCAATAGGAAACAATGAATCCACATTTATGTTAAACTCAATAAGTACAACAGGCTTTCAAATCAGAGTACGAGTCAATCGTTTCGTTTAAAATCCAACTTTTGGTAAAAATTATTTAAAATACCTTCCAACGGTTTCGGTAGGGGTTCAATACCATTTTTAATAAAGGAGATGAAAACCATAATCGGCTCCTCGGGCAAAATAGGAGTCATAAATACCTCATAACAAGAAAACCTCAGTAGAAATAACAAAAAGCCAAATAAGTGATTAAGTTCTGAACATCTCATAAACCCCAGCTTAAATGAAAGTTGTTTAAAAATATTTATTCAACGTTTTTGACAGAGGCTCGGTATAAAGATGAGTGAAAGCAGTCAATAAATCAACATATTCGATAGAAACTCATTTAAAGAGGAGTAAAAATCAATAAGTTCATAAACAGGCCTCTTAGGCAAAGCATCACTCAGGTACATGTATATATATCTATCGCCCCTCGGGCTAGCCTCTCAGTCACTCGTGACTCAACTCTTACCAATCAGTACTTACACTCAGCACTCATGCTCAATAGGTACTGTCACACCTCCTTTTTCTGTACCCGCGAGGGTACAAGGGAGTTTTTTCCAATTAAAGGACAATCGAAACGAGATTTGTTTATTTATTTTAGAGTCGCCACTTGGGAGATTTAGGGTGTCACAAGTCACCAATTTTAATCCCGAATCGAGGAAAAGAATGACTCCATATTACAGTCTGCGTACCAGAAATCCGGATAAGGAATTCTGTTAACCCGGGAGAAGGTGTTAGGCATTCCCGAGTTCCGTGGTTCTAGCACGGTCGCTCAACTGTCATATTTGGCTTGATTATCTGATTTAATACAAATATGAACTTATGTGCAAATTTTAACTTTTTACCGCTTTCATAATTATTATTATTATTTTTTACAAGGAATTGCAACGTTGTGAAAATGTATCTCGAACCGCGTTACAATCAATGTACCCGTGGTCGTCGACACACTTTGACTCCGTTGAGATTTGGATTTGGGTCACATCAATGTGCACCCGAGTTTAAGAAAATTAAATTATTAAAGGCGCGCCTAAAGCGACTAGCGTATCATCTACTTTGGGTAGGGCCGTGGAATTTTGCTAAACGGTCCATCCCGAAGTCTAAGCAATATAAAGCAAATATTTACTGAGGGCCCCGCAATTTTGTATTTTTATTTGGCGAGACTCATCTCATTCTTCTTTTTAAAGATAAACCTATAGTGACTACATTTCTTCTATTAAGTTTGTCTCTAAAAATAAAAAAAAATTTCTCAATTAATTACATGCTGAAAAACAAAATAACTTCTTAGTTATTAGTTTACGGCTAATGTGAATGGAAAATTACGATCGAGTTTGTACAAAGAAAAATTGCTTTCATTCTATATTCTATTATTCAATAATACTTGAACATGAGATTGACACACCATAATATCAAAAACAAATTAACTAGTATTTGATTAATTTAAACTAAAATTATTAGATGAAGAAGTTATACATATGCAAGCATATTACTCATTAATTAATCGACTAGGTATCTGAAAATTTAAAAAATTTAAAGTAATTGAAAGTAGCATTTTTGAAAGAAAAAGAAAAGATAGTGGTTTGTTTTTTAAAGAAAAGTTAAATAAAGTGAGATTCTCTTTTAAAAAAAAATAAAAAAGTGAGATTTTAAATAAGATAAAGTAATTAAAGTTGTAATTTTAAAAATAAAAGTAAATAAAGGTAGGATTTCTTTTTCTAAAAAAATAAAAGCAATTTGTAAGTGGGATTTCTTTTAATTAAAAAAATAATAAAATAATAAAAAACAAATCTGAAAATTTCGAAAATTTTGCTATAAATAGAAGAGAAAATTTATGAATAAGGGAGTTGAAAAAAGAGGAAAAACTAGATAGAGAGAAGAAGAAAAGAGAGGGGCGGAGAGAGCAGTATACACTCGATATACACTCTGGATACACAAAATATACAAGGACATAATTCATTTTTGAGAGAGTAAAACAGATAGAAACAAATTTTCTGAAATATTGAGAGCGGAAGAACACCATAGAGAGTTCAAATCTAGAAAGAAAAAAATAAAGAGAGATTTCCGCACTATTTGTCTTCTCCATTTTTACTAGTTTTCTCCGTGTTGCTGGGATTTCTGGACTGAGGTGTTGAAGCTACTGTGTTGGGCTTTCTGCTGCTGTATGTTGATGTGTTACATACTACTATGCTGATCTTCTTCTTCTTGTACTGTCATTTCCAGGTACACATTTGTACACTCTCAGCTTGAAGCGAAATGAAATATTAATCAGGCTAATGTCATTTCCATTCACATTAGCCGTAAACTAATAACTAAGAAGTTATTTTTTTTTCAGCATGTAATTAATTGAGAAATTTTCTTTTATTTTTAGAGACAAACTTAATAGAAGAAATGTAGTCACTATAGGTTTATCTTTAAAAATAAGAATGAGATGAGCCTCGCCAAATAAAAATACAAAATTGCGGGGCCCTCAGTAAATATTTGCTTTATATTGCTTAGACTTCGGGATGGACCGTTTAGCAAAATTCCACGGCCCTACCCAAAGTAGATGATACGCTAGTCGCTTTAGGCGCGCCTTTAATAATTTAATTTTCTTAAACTCGGGTGCACATTGATGTGACCCAAATCCAAATCTCAACGGAGTCAAAGTGTGTCGACGACCACGGGTACATTGATTGTAACGCGGTTCGAGATACATTTTCACAACGTTGCAATT